GTGGCCATGGTGGAGGGGCAACGGCGTGAGCGCGAGTGTGCGTGTGTGGCGGCGCTGAGGAGGCAGTGGCTGTGGTGGAGCTTCCGTCGCTTGTGCGCTAACCCTAGATCGGCAGGGATATTGGTGGGGGTTGCGGCGCACGGTGAACCTCGTACCGCGTGCAGCCGGCTCCCCCACCTCTTTATATAGCGCTGTGACAGGGGCCCACCACCCATAAGAGGGTTGGGCGCCCCCGATCAGGGTGCAGGCCAAGGGGCCCGTCGAGCCGTTGGGCTCGATCGGTATGAGATCAACCTAACAGCTTCAGCTTTGATGCAATCAACTCGTCGGTTAAAGAAATCATCTTGCAAGGGACAAACATAAATTACAACTTGGATCCTCAACATATTGAACATTGAAGTATGTGATTATCCCTTCCAAATATCAACTGCCAAGAAATCAACCTACCTTGACTGTAATTCGAATACTTTAGCAAGTAGTTTCCGTTCTCTCTCAGCACTGCCCGTTTCAACCTGCCAAAAGCATGTACACAATCTTAGGAGTCAAAGAATTCTCTATAGTATCAATACTACTGTAATGAACATAAACAAACTCATCTTGTAAAGCAATTATGTTCATTAAATAAAAATGATGAACTCTGTATTTTAATTTTTTTATATTAAGCTAAAGAGAAGCTTACCGCTGTATCACCCACCATAGTCTGATCTCTAGTCTGCGGCCCTGGAGAAAGTAAAAAAAATTAATCATAGAAAGGGGAAATTGAAACTTTGAGCAGCTACAGTAGAAGTTAATTACCATTGGGTTTCTCATTCTGTTGCAAGTTACTCATTAGGTTCGTGATGATATCCTGTGAAAAGGAAATGGAAAATGGTCAACTGTACAGCAGTAAATATATTTGTAATGCACATGTGTTGAGGGGCATTATATAGAGCTTCTTCCATACTTGCTGAAATGTGGTCTGCTGTACAAGGTTTTCAAGATGGGGAATCAGAATTGATGCAGATACTGAGCTGTCACGGAATTCCTTCCGATGATGACTATTAGACTGCAAAACCGATGCATTCAGGTCAATTAACTGAAATGATATGCACCACAAATCTAGAAAACATCTTTGATATAATAATAGTAATAACATACATAATCGAATATGTCAAAACTGCCAATTTCAACGTGCATGCTTTAAAATTCAGTTCTAGCGTGCAACTTATCCAAGATTATAGTAAACGTTAGCTTGATATCATGCCATGCGGTTGATGTTTCTAAAAGAAAATATAACAAATCTTATCCAGAAATAATTTAACAGCACTATGGAAATTCTTAAACGAGGGGTACAAAGGTACACAGTAAATAACATCAGAAAGAGAACACGCTCCTTCATCTCTTTCATAAAAATAACTGCACAAAACTTAAAATATTTCAGTTGCTCTAATCTTGTTTTGTTTTGTTTGAGAGCTTGGGGAAAAATCACCCCACAGAAAAAAAAATTTAGTGCAACAATATATTATCTTAATTAGTTGAAAGTTTTTTTCTTTCCACAAATGATACTTCACGCAACATGAAAGCATACCATTGACTTAGCCTTCACTGGCCAAGCACCAACACTGGCTGATCTTTCATTGTAGAGACCTGAGTTCTTACCTCCTGTGGTTTAGGTGAAATTTTGAACACTGGAATTTCCTGAACCTGTCAGTAGACTTTATTAAGTTCTCACTGAAGTCTTGTTTTGCTCATAAGCACTACCTATTGAAGTGTATGCGTTGCTCAACAGGTAACGTACCTTCGCCAGATCCACATTTTCGGATGTTACGGAAAATCGGCCTTTTATTTCCACCCTAGGCTTGACTCCCAAGGAGCCCACATATCCTGCGAAATAAAGACAGAAAATTACATGCCCTTTTAATGTGCGACTCCCAAGTCTTTTTATATACATTTACAGAAGTGGTGGACATTTGTGTAAGAATGGTAAATGTTGTACCCCTATCTCAAAAATACTGGATACAAGCAGGCTATGTATTTGCTGAAGCATGCTGTGTGCTGTGCTGATGTGCTAAGTTAATGTTAAACATGACTGGAGGTCTATAGTCTACACTGACAGAAGTGGTGCACAGTTGCCTTAGAAGAGTGGATGCTTTTATCCTACCTCCAGAAGACCGAATAGGGGCAGACAGACTATTTGCAGAAGCACGAGTTGAAAGTGAAAGCGGACCACTAAGATCATCGATTCTTCCCGTGTCACTCTTTTGTTTATTAGGTGACCGAGCTCCTGCATCCCTGTGAAGAGGAACAAAATCAAATGCAATTTAAACTGGTATGCTAATGCAAACTTCTAATAGAGTAGAACACTGGATTCAAGAAAGAGCTCTTTTAGAGTAAGCATTAGTTATTATAGACTGTCCATCCTAATAAAAAAATATCAGAATAATTAGGATTGCATTTACTCCACTGACAAGTATTGGACATATCATTATAATAAATAACTATTTTTATAATTACTTTAGGGCTACAAAAAAACATCAAGGATGTCATCGGCATGGAAGTTTAAACAAAGAAGTCCATAATGACCTTTATATACAGTTAGATTTCACTCGTACTCTATCCACAATCCACATATAAAGGAGAACTGTGTTCTGTGTCTGAATACTCAGATATGAAAACTTTCATCTATCTATTAAAATGCTTCTTCGAAACAAATTTGATCATGACTTATAAACAGAACCTCTAAAAACTTGAAAGCTGATCTGGAAGAACTAAACAGCAGTTCTATAGTAAGAGTGTAAACAGATTAAAGTGGACTTTATTTTCTTTCTTATGTTTTTTATATGTAACAGATCAAACAGAATGTAACAAGTTACAAGAAATTGTCGAACATACATATCAATAATATAACCTCTTTCAATGAGTGAACTACTGCGGGTACCAGATTACATAACTGGACCAGAGAATGTCCTTTGTCTTTGTCTAACTTCACTCCTGCGGTTTCCACCCTCAGAACCTTGCTTCGATGTAGAGGACAATGAATCATTTTCTGTTCCTTGCTTTATGTGTCCATCAACCATCCTTGGACTATCAGCATTGCCAAGGTCACAAGCGAATTCATCACTTGTTTCAGGGCCATTTCCACCTGGATTTACTGCAGTGGTACAAGTTCGCCGCTCGGATGGCAACAAGAAGGCCAAGTCGGCAAAGGATGCCGCGCCTAACGCCGAACGTCTGCAGGCGTCCATCGAGCAGTGCATCACCGACGCCAAGAACCACGCCGTCGAGAGGGAGGCGAAATCAGACGCGCGCTGGTCGGCGATTTTTTCGACCGGCCAGATCAAGCTCGACCTACTCCGGACAAATGTAGCCGCCAAGAAGAGGAACACCGACTTGGCCTTCCTAATGGCAGTGGACACGACGGCGGTGTCGGCTATGGACGGGCCGATCAAGGAGTGGTACATGCGGGAGCGCGGCCTCATCCTGGAAGGCCTGCCGACGGACACGCCAACTGCCACGACCAACACGTCGACTCAGCCGGCGAGCCCCAGCTACGATGTGTCGCCTACCTCGACGCCCGGCAGCCCGCGGACGCCACGGACAACGACGCCGACGCCGAAGCCGATGCAGAAACACGGGACGGCGCCGCCGAGGACATCGCCGCTGCCGTCATTTGATGCACTCGTCCTTCCGTCTTTTTTTTGCTACGCCGAACTATGTGACGAACTGAGATGATCGCCGAGCTGTGGCGAGTGGTCGCCGAACTATGGCGTTTTTTTGTAGCGGGAACTGCTGATTCAAAAATACAGGGCGTCTCGGGGCCGGAGGCTGGGAGCGTGGCTGGGCCGAGAACGCCCCCAGCGCCAAATTCGCGCCGGGGGAAGGGACAAAAAAGCGCCGGGGGGGTGCCTTGGGGGGCTGAACGGCTGGAGATGCTCTGACACCTCGTTGATACTCACTCTGTTGAACAAACCATCAAACCACAAGAAAGTCACCTAAGCGGATTGAA